GCAAGGAATATTTTATGCAACGCTTTTATCTTTTTGGCTTGTCTTTGCCGGGGAACATCTTATGGTAACAATCATTTTCTTTTGTATACACATAATTATGACTTTTTTTTCTCTTATCCCAAAATATGCATTTATTATAATTATTTTTTGTTTTGTTTTTATGCGATACTACATTATACTACATCAGATTCAGGTGCGTTTGAAATATTATTATTCATAATTTTATTGAAAATTATAATTTAATTTTTCTTTTTATTTTTTTTTTCTCTTAAATATTATGAAACTTGTTTAGGAGGGTGACCAAAGAAATTCTTTAAAATGTTATTGGCGTCATTTATCTGCTGTGGGTATAGGATGCTTATCATTGTTTATCTTTGATATGTGTGAACGTGGAGTACAATTAAGAAATCCGTTCTATTCAATATGGGTCACAGATCTTGGTACTAAAATGGCAGTATCCTTTCTCTCTCAAAACTATATAGTTTTATTATAATTCATTTTAAATATTTATTCCTTATATAATAAATAATAGTTATCTTTTATAATTTTGGCTGGAATATCAGCTGGTGTATATTTAATATTTTTAACTTATATGATATGGAAAGTCTTTATGAATATAAGTGCAAAAAGAGCTACTCTACCAGTTATGAGCTCGGCACGTCGTTTACATTACGAAGGTGTGATATATCGTTTCAAGTTCTTAATGATTGCTACATTATTATGTGCTTCATTAACAGTTATCGGATTTATTCTTGGTCAGGTAACTGATTCTTTATAGAATATTTTTACATATACATATATATTATACATATATTTTTAAAGTTATCTTATGATCATTATGAAAACAAGCTATTGTATATTTTTGAAATAGGTTGCAGAAGGACAATGGAAATGGGATGAGGAAATAGAATTACAAATGACATCTGCCTTTTTCACTGGAGTTTATGGGATGTGGAACATTTATACTATTGCATTATTATGTCTGTATGCACCATCTCATAAACAGTGGCCGATCGAACCATCTGGTAAATATCATTTTCATTTTATTTTATCAAAATTTATTTATCATCAGCAAATATTCTTTTTTCATAAAACTATATGTTATGTTAAAATCATGAATTCCAGAACACAGTATTAGCGAAGAAATTGAGTTCTCGCGGCTTCCTACCGATCCCAATGAGATGTTGTCACTCACAGCATTTGCCCGAAAAGCAGCTGTGGAATAAACATCTTAAGTACTTTTATTTGTTACAAGTAGAACAGATCTATAGATTTTTCAGTATTCACAGGATAATAACGGACACGACTGATAATACTTTAACCATAAATTTTATATGCCAAAACTATTTATTGTTCCAAATATTTGGGATTTTTAGTCTACCTTTACGAAGTTTAAGTTACAATATCGCGTATATAATTATAGTGTGATATATAATTAGTATAGATTCAATTGCTCAATGGATTATTTAAAAATGTCAAAAAGCACAAATTTTTTCTTCCAATAAGTTGACAGACACAGGGTGAAAATGAAGTTGTATAACTAATATTATAGATCTTTATAGAACTTATACAATTTTCATAAAAAAATTTTTATTATTGTAGTTAATATGATTGAGAGAAAATTTTTCAGATTCTATATATTATCGGATAAAAAAAAAAAAAAAGAAAAAAAGAAACGAACAGTATACGAGGATCATTTTAATTTATATACGAATTATTTCATTATTCATATCAATTTCTTGAAGTATTAGATTGACTTAATTAGAAATCAGTATGTATTTTCTTATTTATTCATTGTTTTGCATTATATGTGCAATTATAGAATTATAAATGGTATTAGTATTTTTAAATTTGCAATGACTTTTTTAATAGGCAATATATAAAAATAGACCGTGTAATTTACTTGGTTGTATTCTAGGAATTTCATTTATTGAGAAAAGAATCTGTTTCGTCTTATTATAGTACATATCATTATCAGACAATTATCTATATTTAATCTTTACAATCGTGCATTTAATCATACAATTATATATTATATAATATACAAAATTAGAATTGAAATTATAATCACGAAATATAACAGCAGCTTTTTCATAATACATAATATGTCACATTTTTATTAATACAATTTGCACACTTTATAACGTAGTTTGCACGTTGGATCGAGTACTTAAGGGAAAAGATATCAGTATAAAATTTCGTGCTAAGTCAATTTAATCTAATAATTAAATTCTCCATCATACATCTTGTCATTACATAATATTCATAAAATCGTTTGTAAGTATACCAAGTAGTTTGCATATAAAAATTAGAAATTATTTAATTTTATGAAGAGAAACATTATTGCAGGTCAAGTATTCAGGATATTATTCGAAGTGCAATATTTGCTTCTTATGTTTAAAATGAGTTGCTTAATATTAACTAGAATATTATATAGAATACTTGTAGACAAGATAGAAATATATATATATAGAGAAAAAAAAAAAAAAAAGAAAAAACTTTAAAGTTAACGATTTAGTAAGATATTTAATACATTTATATAATTTAAACGTAGAAAAATCATTACATCATTCGATACGATTTTGACTGATTTTATATAATTAATAATATAATGTAACGCAGGTAGTGAAAAAATACGATATATTTCTTCTGGAAATAAAATGAATTAACATTAACATGTTAAGAAATTATGTATTGTATTTTACCATAGAAATGCAATTATTTATGTATCAGGTAACAC